CCCGGCCCCAAGGCTGCCAGAGCTCCAGGAGCGTTTGGACAGCGCTCTCAGGGATGCTCAGGGTGGGATTGTTGGGGGGTCTGTGCAGGGACAGGGGCTGCACTGATCATCCCTGAGGGATCCAGCTCAAGATATTTCAGGATTCCGTGATTCTAAATCCCAGAATATAAACAACATCAGTGCTCTGAGTGAGAAGCATGCCAGGCTGCCAGGTGGGGGCTTTGAACCAGGTGAGCAGGTGCAGCACCAATGTCTGAGCCCTCCATTGTTCCCTCCTCCAAGATTTCCAGCTTTGAGCCTTTGGTTTCTTGGAGGACAGGGAACCTCCTGGGGAGTTTTGAGCTTCCCAGCCTGGGGTTGGGAGAGGTGACAGGAGCATCTCTGGCTGTCCCGGGATGGTGCCAGGACACAGCACAGTGAAAAACCGGCTCCTTTCAGAGGATGAGGAGGGTGAGAGAGGCTTTTTGTCTATTTGAAGTCACCAATTTCACAATTTACCATTCATCTTCAGCAGGGACAGGCGGGGAATGGGGTGGTTAAACAGAGAAGAAACTGATAAGCTATAACAGATTTCTTTCTAGTAATTATTTCTAGTAATTAGCTGCCTTTCAGAGCAGTGTTCCTAATCGGGTGGGTATTGTCAGTGCCTGTAGATTGGGGTCTTCCTGGACAATAGGTTTAATCAGGGTGTTGTTGCTGCTCCTGGATTTTTAACTTCTTTTTTTCCTGCCTGTTTTTAATCCCTGGCTGTGTTTTGCCTCCCCTTTTCCCCCAGGCCGGAATTCTAATGGAATTAGCAGTGTGGGGCTGGGGGAGGTGCATGGTGGGTGGTGGCTGTGCTGGGCTGGGGTGATGTGGGGGCACTGGTTCTGCCAGTGCTGGAAAAACTTGTAGGCAGCATTTAAATTTTTTTTCTTGGGCTGTCAAGTGTAGGGCCAGGAGTTGGACTTCAGTGATCCCTGTGGATCCCTTCCAACTCGGGCTATTCTGTGATTTTGTGGTCTATGTGAAAAATGGCAAATTTATGTAAAAGCAGTTTGCTCCGGTGGAGGTGAGATGCTGCCATGATCCAGGGTGCCAGAGCCAATCCCTGACACTGCCAGAGCGGGTGGGAACCTCCGAGAAGAGCAGTTGTTCTTTTTCCACCGTCTCCAAGCTCAGGAGCAGATGTGCCTTTGGGAGGAGTCGCACAAACGGCGTGGGGGGTTCCTCTGGAAAAGCCCTGCGTGAAGGCAGGGCTGGGGGAGGCTTCCCAGAGCCCCACACAGCCAGATCCTGCAAGAGGGAACATGCTGGGAGAGGAGAGAGGCTGGGAAATGGCTCCTTAGGCAGGGCTGCAGGCAGCGCAGGGAGGTGAGGAGCAGCAGAATGAGCTGGCAGGGGAAAGGCAGGAGGGGGATGGCAGAAAGATCTAGAAATGCTGAGTGCTCTCAGCCAGTGTCTGGGTGCACCGACTCAAGGTGCCTCCACTGTGCTTCACCTCCTTTCCAAAGGAAACCCTTTCCTCTACAAGGGATTTATTCCCACTACCTCCTCCTCCTCCCACAAGATCCCTCCACGCCCATCTGCAGGATTTCAGGAATTCTGCTGGGAGCAAGATGGAGTTTGGGGAGCTTCCTGATGGGTTTTTCCCAAGTTACTGGGACTTGTCTCCATCCTGGTCCTTGCCTCCTTCCTGGGGCTTTGCCACCTTTCCTGGTTGGTGCCCTGGGCTGTGGCTGCCAAGGGGTGACAGGGTGGGTCTGGGTTTGCCACCTGTGCCATCTTCCTGCCCACAGAAACAGCTCCTTCTGCTGGCAAGTTCAGCCTTTCCTTGCCCAGCTTGTGCACCTTTTGAATTTCAGCAGGCTTAGTTACATTCCAGTCCAGAAAAGTTTCCCACTCTTTCTTCTGCCTTGTTTTCATAGACACTTAAATGTAAAATTTCTTCTGCTGAGTTTTTTGCTGCTTTTTTCCCTTGTTATGTGATGATGGAGGGTGCAGGAGCTGGGGCTGGCCAGGGCTGCCCTATCTTTCCCAGTGAGCCCCATCCCAAGGGGCACCTGCAGGCCCAAGGCTGCAGCAGATGCTGAGTGAGGAATGAGAGAAATCCAGAGAAGGCTGTGGGTTTGGAGCAGTGCAGAGCTGGCACTGGGTTCATAGAATCCTGGAATATCCTGAGCTAGAAGGGACCCAGAGGTCCATGAGTCCCTATCCTGTCCCTGCACAGACCCCCCAACAATCCCACCCTGAGCATCCCTGAGAG